TAGTTGGCGCCAAGTTTGAATTTCAAATTTGAATTTGAAATTCAAACTTTGGCCACTCACATGCTTAATCCGGATGCTACCAACATTTAGGTGTCATTTAGGAGTTATTTGAAGTGAATTTGGAGCTCACATGGCCGGAACCACTCCATGCCATCCATGTGACTCAAATTCATTTCAAATTACTTCTAAATGACACATGAATGAAACCTAATTCTCCTATTAATGTATACTTCATATAAACCTAATCTATGGACTAAAATACATTGGTCTAATGAATACAATGAATAGGAAAAAATACAATAAAAAGAATGAGCCTAATATTGGGTATCAAAAGCCCAAAGCCCATGAAGCCCAAATATAAGCCCAAAAGCCTAAACCCTAAACTATGGTCAAAATACAAGACCGAAATCAAACAAATTCCTATACTAAGAAATATAATAAAGCATGGTGTTTAATCAAGTAAAGTCCATGTGAAAAGCACCCTAGGCCCACCAAGCCCATTGGGCCCACTAAGCTCTGAAGCAGACAAGTCTTCAAGTAATCTCCTGGCCATAGCTCTAGTGGTTGGGCCTTTGGCCCATGCTCTTCCATCATAAGGTTAGCTTCTCCTAGAAGCTACCTCTCCCTATATATTTGTAAATACCTCTCATGTACTCACTTTTGAACAAATTGAGAAATAAACTTCAGATTTCTCTCTCAAGAGTTCAAAACCGAAGAGAAAACATTCTCTTTAAGGTTTCACCAAAGGTTCTTCAACCTTTACTTGGTTCCTCAAGCTTCTACCACAACCTAAGGAGTAACCGAATCCTTTCAAGGCTTCTCCTCCATTGAAGCTTTCTTCGTGGAGTATCAAGCTTCTTCTAAGGTCAACCTCAAGAGTTCACGGTCCTAAGCATGGAACACTTGAAGAACATCAACCTTCTCCAAGTGATTTCCATCATAGTCTTATATCATTTTGCCGCAAGATGCTTTATGCTAACCCGAGGTCGAGTTCGAACCTTAATGCGTTTTGCTTAAACCTGAGGTCGAGTTCGAACCTTAATGCGTTTTGCTTAAACCCGAGGTCAAGTTTGAACCTTAATGTGTTTTGCTTAAACCCGAGGTCGAGTTCGAATCCTATAAAGAGGCGCTGGCTGTGAAGAATGGAATCAAGAAGTTTGATTTCCATCTGCGAGGATATCACTTTGAAGTCCAGATGGATAATTCTTCATTTCCAAAAATCTTGGATTTCAAGAATAAGTTACCACCAGAACCTCAAATCTTAAGATTAAAGGATTGGTTTTCCAGGTATGATTTTATTGTTAAACACATCAAAGGAAAACATAACCTCATTCCTGATTTTCTTTCAAGACCACAAAAGCCAGTCTTAATCATCTCATCCTCCTATAGCTTTCCATTGATCTTCATGGCAAAACCTCTACCTGATACAACAAAAACTAGAAAGCTATATCCTCCTGGGTTTAAACCTAACAGTCCTGAAGAGATTATTCAATTTGCCAGATCTCATTATTTTTATTATCTTCATGAGACTCTGAGGTTTAAAGTAGTCCCTCCAACCATGTTTGATCCTACAGAAGAACATCCCGGAATATTTGAATTATTCTGTGAAATTGGTTGGGATTTATGTGAGCCAACTCTTTGGGCTATATGGTGCAAAACTGTCCAAAGTCCAATTGCAATTGCTTTGAAGGTACAATCAGCTTACAATATTCTGATAAATCCAGATAAAGCAGAATTTTTATTCTGGACCTTATTAGAATGGTTTTCGCCTCTCCCATGGTGGAGAAGTGAGTTAAAAAAGGTTCTCGATTTCCAAAAGCATCAAATGGGAAAAACCAGAGAACAATGTGAGTCTTTAACCTCCATAGCTATCATCAGGCGTCCTTATTTCCAGAAACCTACAGGACAACTATGGTCAAAGAATGAAGCTTATTTTTGGGGAACCTTTGAAACATATCCCCCAGATCAAAGTTACAAGGCACAATTGATCAACCATCTCAAGGAAGCAAAAATCCAACAAGAGAACCAAGGAGAAGCCAGTTCATCACACGGTCGTTTCATTCCTAGCCAATCAAGTCGTCAGGGTATCAATGCTTTCATGAGCAGAACTGAATATTACGTGCCAGATGAACACTTTCAGACAGCTAATGATCTAGGAGATAAAGACGATGATGATTATTATGCTGAATTGATGATAGACAGCTGTTCTGACTCAGATGCATCAGATCCGAATCTCTCTCCTAGTCATGAGCCCATCATCAAAAAAGGATAGTAGTGGGAATCTACTTTTTCGTAAAATAAGTATGACAGTGTGTATAAGTTATGACCATGTAGGTCCCTTGTTTGTACTAGTTCTTATCATCTGAGTCATAATAGTTTGTCTAGTTGTGTGAGTCACACCCCACGGGGGTCCTTTACTGTATTTAGCTTTTAGGGAGCCAATCAGGATTGGCCCATGCGTAAAATGTTTGTTGTTTGTAAGCCTCATGAGATTCCCTCCGAGTCTATATAAGGAGGCTCTCTTTCAGTTTGTAATCAAGTTGAGTTTGCAATAAAATTTTTTGTGTGCTTATTTCTCATGGATTGCTAAACCTCTTATTCTCTCTTTCGAAAACTCTTGATCTTATTATAGTATTATGTTCTCAGTGATATATGTTTAAGCCAGTATGCTCTGTACTCGCCTCTTTAAGAGGATCTTGTACAACAGAACGCTATGAACTTTAGATCCAGTATTTTCCGATCCTTAGGATTTATGGTTAATTTGGTTAATATAAGACAATTGCTGAAAAGAGTAGGCGAGGAATGCCGAAAGAGTAAGCTCGTTCTTGTATTCTGTCAAATTCATCATAGGTCTCTAAGGCTCTCGGCCATATTGGTATCACGTGTTCTTCTGTTAAGGACAATTAGTCTCTAAGGCTCTCGGCCATATTGATAGACCTAATTCATAGGAAAAATAAAGAAAAAATATTCCTATAACCTCTAAAAAGTAAAAACCGGTTGTCTAGCATTCAAACAAGTTTTTGATAGTTGAGTAGTAGTATGTGCAATTGTTATTTTTGTTATATACTTATTTATATTATATATTATTATTAATATCTAATTATAATTTGGGAGAAGAGTGAAGAGTATTTAAATAGGTTTGCACTGAAAGACAAAACTCAAAACCCTAACGGAGAGGGAGAAAATGGCAAGGCGGGTTGATAACAAAGTTTTGCCATTACGAGATATTCATACGTGTCTGGACCGGAAAGTTAACTTGTTTGCTGTTATTCTCGACTTCGGCTTCCCAAAGCCAACAAAGGGCACCGGTAAATTTCAACTTTCTCTTAATTTCTTCATAAAGTTTGCATCTTTCCAAGTTTCACTGGCAATGATGATTAAAAGGCCGGACTTACGGCTGCCATTTACTTCCTTGGTAGTAGAATGATGAACTTTGTTCGTGAAAGTGTGTTCTGAGCCAGTGTCACTCCCTTTTTTCATATTTTTAAATAATGTTGAAATGTTTTATTTTTATGAGCTTAAAGTTATGATTTTTACTTTAGGTTTGAGGTTTCTTCCAAGTTATTTGCATGTAATATCTCCTGCTACTGTTGCTTATCCTGTATAAATAACTTGTGCAGATTACTGTTCTTCCATAAGAATAATCGATGAAACACATCACAATGCTGGCATGGCGGTTAACATTTTTGCTTCAGATGCAGCAAAACTTCCCCATGTTGCTGCTCTTGGGGATGTCATTAAGCTCTGTAATGTCGTGGTATTCATTCTCTTATAGTAAGCTCTGTATGTATAGAAATGTCTGCTGGACCTGGCTTGGCTTTTATATACACGTTTCAGTTGTTCTAAACTATTACATTTGCTCCTGTACCTAAACAATAAAGAGGCTTTAACATTGATCACTTAACAAACCCTAAATCCTATGCTCATTTGCTTCATACTAAACTTTATCATGTAGATGATATTATGTATTTTTTCTTTGAATTTTTTCTTTTATCTTTTGTAGGTAAAAGCATATGGTGCGGAAGTAAATGCTGTTTTCAACAAAAAGTTTTCTTCTTTTGCTTTATACAAAGGGAAAGATGGTGATGATTTTGTCCCTTATCAAGTTTCTTTGAAATTTTGTCCCAGAGATGAAGACAAAGTGTATTTAGAGAAGCTTAGAAAATGGCTGCCTAATTTTCAGCCTAGTGAAGGTATTCTACGATTTCAGCTTTGGTATAAACTGAATTCTGTTTATTTATCTTTACTTCCTGTAGTCTAATTTAAACTTTATATGCACATTCACACGGACACACGGTAACATGTAACTTGTGGTTGAAACTCGAAAGAATTTCTATTAGTGTTATTATTAACTTCATCTTGTTTTCTACTTCGATGCTCAACTTTGATGTGTGTAGATTCGAGTTATTTTCCCATGTTCAAAGAAATCAAGGGAGGAAATAACCTTAATTTGGCATGCAAGGTAATTAAGCTGTTTCTTGTTCTGGTATTTTGCATGATTGAATTTTAAAAAGTTCCTTGTATGAATACAACAAATAAAATGTGTGAGCTTTTTTCAAGATTTGAGTTTACTTATTAGTTGTTATTGTCTGTACAAGGCACTCTTCCTTCTTTTCATACTTATAATTTGTTGTCCACATGAAGATCCTTCACTGCTGTGAGGTTGCAAAAGATGAATGGTTTATATTTGCTTGGGATGGTACTGATACCCCACCAAATGCCATATCTTCAAAGTAAGTTGATACAGATTTAATTTTACGTTGTTGGTTCAGCTTCTTTCCCCCAAAATGTACATGCTGTTTTGGATGAAATTGTAACGGAGCCTTTTACTGGAATTTTCTTATAACTAAAGCAGTGGTGTTTTCTAGTACAGGTCTGTATATAATATCTTTTCAAAGGCAAGTTGCTGGACATAGGCATGACAGTGTCATGGTTGGTGTTTTGTTGATTTCTATGCTGGAAAATTAATGATAATATATATATATATATATATATATATTTTTTTTTTTCTTCTCTTATTGTGCAATTTATCTTCTCCAACCCTCCCCTTTGTCTTTGTACCGGGCCGTGAACAATGTAGTTTGGTAAAGTAATGGATTATATAAAATGTTTTTATTTTTTATTATTTTATTATCAATAGAATCACTTGGGTAGCTGCCGTGAGACAAACAAGTAAAAATAGGATGGATCATAACATATGAAAAATGTAATAGGACTTAACATTGGGTTAAAAAATGACGGTATTTATTCCTCTAAAAACGGTAACAAACCAAGTGGAACAGAAGAAAACTATTCCATTCTGTTTATGCTCCAAATTCTACCTTGTGTATTAATTATTAATTATAATATTTAAATTTACGAGAGTATCTTAATTGAAAATTGATTGGCTTGATTCTGAATTTCAGGCTAGAAGATGAAGTTGATTCTCCGCTTCCTTTACAACTGGAACCTTCGGCTTTGCCTAAAGAGTTATTATGCACTTTTCCTGCTGTTGGATCGATCTTGAGGATAACTTCTAATCTAGGTGTTGAGAAGAACCATCTCCACCTTCTAAGCGTTGGTAAATGGGTCAAACTTGTCAATATGCAACTCGAGGTGCATGCTGGACTATGGCGTGGTGTTTTTACCCCATTTTCAAAGCTTCGATATACCTCTAATGAGGACTCTCTCATTGTAGAACGTCAGAGGTGGTTGCTAATTTATTAACTCTATATGGTTTGGTTTTATTATAGCAGTGAACTGAAACTTTTGCATGATGGGCCAGGTTGTCTGATGAGCGGCTGTCTGTGTTATCAGGAAAAGTGGTTCCTTGCAGCTTCCCTAAGCCTTCATGTATTACAGGTATTTCATTTATGTTGCACTCCGATTGTTGAAAGTTATGACAATAGATTTGACATTTTCTTTCGGGGTGACACTATGCTTTATCCTTACAGAAGTTAATCATGTTCATGATCGTGAAACACCTGTTACTTTAATGAGTGTCCTCACTCATTCACAGGTGCTATATTTCATTTAAAGTCCACACTCTAAACTTCAAACTCCCAGAGCTATTGATAATGTTATTCACCTCTCAACATTACTATTACTATTGTTTTTTGTAACTAAATTTATATGTTGAAGGTGACCTTGAAATTCAAGTGCATTGTTCGGGTGGTAGCAGCAATGCCATGCGAAGCTGAAGATTTATGCTCTCCTGCTGGGGTATATAGAATACGGCTAACCCTAGAGGATTCAACGGCTAGAATCCATGTTTTTGTAGTTGCTGAGGATGGGGTAACAAATTTTAACTTGTCTGATGATTTTAAGATTCTTGGCATCAATTACATTCAATGCACATACAGCTTCTACTATTCAGTGGCCGTTATTGTTTTCAATTAGCAATTATCGGCATCATACAAAAAAACAACTTCGCCTAATTATTAATGTCTGTTTATTTTTTCGTTTTCTTCTCATTTTTATCTGTTTATCATGGTGATATATATGACAGGTGACCCTTTTTGATGGTTATCCGGACATTGACCAGTTGAAAAGGAAGCTGAACAGTTTACTTGGAGTAGCAGAATGTGATGCTGGTCCTGGCGTGAAGAGTGCAGAGTGTGGAACTAGTACTGGGGTGAAGGATGCGCCAAGAAATCCGCCATGGGTTTGTGTTCATCTCATGTCATATAATGTGTCCGGAACTAGATGCTTCAAAATAGTTGATACCAAAATAGTGGGAGATACATGATGCATGATAATGCAACTATGTTTTGTAAGCAAGACAAGGTGCTAGTGTGCATAGAAAGCCTGGAAACCCTTTTTTGTTATCTTCCAGGGCACTTGATGTATTTTGAATGTGAATATGTGGAAATGGGTCACCTGCAGTTTAGGAAACAACTGCACCCAGTGTAGCTATTAACCTTCCAGGCCACTTGTGTATTTTGATTGTGAATATGTATGGCTGTGATCTCATGCAGTTTTAGAATTGCTGAGAATCTTAATCCGTGAATATTATATGCACAGATGAATTACACATTACGTATGATACGCAGTACATAAAGCCCGTTCTTCCTCTCTTTTTAAGGCAAAATAAACACGAGATGTTCGCTAGTAAATGTGACTAATGTTGTTTTAGAACTGCTGAGAATCTTAATCCATGAATATGTAGATGAATTGCACATATTACGTATTGATACTCGTCACATAAAGCCTGTTCTACCCTCCTTTTTTAAGACACCACCATACGATATGTACGTGCTTGTGTTCATTCCTGGAAACCCTCTCAAGGGCACATACGTATGATAGTATATATACCTTATTAAATGCAGTATTTTAGCAAAATTGGTACTCTGTCGATCGTTGTTATCATTTATTCATTTATGGGATTAGAATCAGTGAGTCATAAGTACTTTTGGACTACTACGCGGGTTAGTGAAATTTCTGTAAGTCGATAATATAAGACAAAATCTTACAACAGTGTATGCATCTTCAGCTCTCATTTTCGGGGTCAAACGAACGGGTGAAAATCGTGTTCCTAACATACAAACTAATATCTACAAATGCACTTATTTCCAGAACTTACCATATGGTACAATTTGGCCTATAGCTAAATAATTGTTTCCACCTAGAAACCCGACACTCTTGTACCTTGTGAAAGCCATGAGCTAAATAGGTGCGGGTACACCAAGCTCGTTGGGGCGATTTGGCTGAGGCACATCTCCAGCAGCAACAGCAGCTTGCCTTCGTTGCCTCTCGCGGAGATAGAGCACGGTAAGAAGGCATGCAAAGAGGGTCAGAATTGTAGCATTTCCCTCCTCCAAAAGCACATCTTCCACCCAAGTTTCTAACTTAGGATAGAGATCTGGCAACGAATCAATCACGTTGACCTGATAAAAACAAGTACACAGCAATCAGGATCTAGAACAGTGAGAAATCTGAAATATTATTGAAAAACGTAAAAGCAAGGTCACAGATAGCAAAAAATAGTTGAAAATAATAATAAAATAACGAGGCTACAGAAGGGTAAGACATGCTAATGACAAAAATTAAGTACGAAGAAAATATACACCGAATATGGCAGTGTTTGTCTAATAGGACGGGGATAATGCAGTGACACACATAAAAGGCAAAAATCCAATCCGTGAAGAAATAAAAATTGCTCGATTGGACATTTATTAAGATTCTCGAGTAATTAGTGATAATATATTATCTTAAAACATGTCCCAATTGAGCACAAACTACAACAGGCAACTGAGATAGCATGAAAAGAAAATTATCAATACATTCAAACATTGTCAACTTCCACCTATTGCTTGTAACTGAAGTGTAGCAGGATGTAAACAAAACAACTCACCAAGAAACTGTCAGCATAGTTCTTACGAACCCACAAGCTTGAAAGAGCCAGCGTGACTGGCAACTTTGCTGCAGGATCATGCTCTAGAGCTTCATCATAGTAACGCTTGGCTAGATGAAGATCAGATGGAAGTCCTTGACCATGCTCATGCATGTATCCAAGGTTGAACATGGCTTGTGCATTGGATTGTGATTTAGCATGCATGTAAGCCTCAGCAGCTCGCTCATAATCCCTGGCAGTACCCTGACAGAAGGAAGAAGGGAAACACAAGAAAGTGAGATACAGAGAATGAGAGCACAATGGCTTAAAATAAATTCACAACATTGCACGTGCCCAATTCACATACCCGACCATAGTAATACGCATCTCCAATAAGTAAAGCAGCATGTTCATTACCCTGCTCAGAAGCTTGCCACCACAGAGAATGTGCTCGCTGATGCCTTTCTGCATCAGTGCAAAATCCAGATTCACCCATGCACATGCTACGTTCCCCATATTTGTCAAGAATCCAAGCAGCATTACTTTGTGCCACCTCATAGCCCATCTCAGCCATTCTTGAATACAACATAAATGCCTTGCCAACATCACCTTTTAAGTATGATTCTAGAGCCCATCTAGACAAAGAACTCCATGGACCCCGCTCTGCAACTAGTTTATACAATGCAGTAGCCTAAAACCCCAAAAACTAGAACTGTTAGCACATTTATTTGTTGGCAGAGACTTTTGATGATAGAATAGTCATTAGGAAATAAAAAATTAATTCTAGGCTAATACTCTAAGATCAAGTTCCCTTAATAACCATGGTACTTGTATTCTAATGAATTACAGATATAATCTCAAACTGTATTACCCAAAATAAATATATAAGAGCTGTTGTACAAGAAGCTACTTAAAGGGGATGACAGGATGTATTAGAGAACACAAACAAAATGAAAACTATCTGTAGCTTATCAGTTATGTTATGTCATCAATATGCATCACTCAACACAGAACATGCAAAAACTAAGACCTGATTGGGTAAACTTCTCAAGAAGCACTTTTAGGAGAGCAAAATAGGAAAGAAAAATGAAATAAACTTCATAAGCTAAAATTAGCTTATGCATAAGCTATTTTGTAAAAACACTCCTATTTGCTTCTTAAAAATAAATTTTTTAACTTATGCATAAGCTAGTTTTAGTTTATGGAGAAGCTTATTTTGATTTTCCCTCCTATTTTTCTTTCTTAGAGGTGCTTTTGATGAAGCTTATCAAAACAAACCCTAAGTAGAATTGAATCATGTTATAATCATCAACACCAATCTCAAATTTTAATCAATTTTATTCTTCTGTTGCAAGCTCCAAAACACATTAAAGCAATATTCAGTTACATTGATGAATAATTATGTCAGTCCAATTATTTATACCGGCAGACTGATGAATAGCAGGCTATTTGTTGATTCCAAAGAGGTCCATTGAACAGAGACATTAGGCTTTTTTGGTGGCTCAATTAGGATTTCATTTTCCAATATGAAATCTACAACTGTAATAGTAGTGAAAATGATAAAGAAGACTTGGATTTAAACAATGATTATTGATGAGCTCTATCTAGGAAACTTGTATTTGAATTTTCTAGGTGTATGTTTAGTTTAAGACACCTATGACTTTTTATTGTTAATAATGAATGTCATTATTTTTTTTATATTTTTTTTTTACCATTTTTGAGAATTTATATGTATATACAATACACATTGTATAAACTAAATAAAATTTCAAAATAGCTAAAGTGTTTTTGGGGCCAGCTGCTATGCACTGCTATTCAGGATTTACAACAATGATCAAAATTAACATTAGAGAATCATATCAACATAGGGCCCTAACATAGATTAAGTTGACTGTTTTCACAGCAGTTGCATAATAAAAGAATGAAAAATGAATGAACTTACCAGGGGAATATTCTTCTTGAAACCTACACCAATATGGAAAATCTTAGCCAGCTGGTAGAACGCCTTTGGTTGACCATGGTTAGCAGCCACCACAAAGTACTTACACGCCAGCTTAACATCCCTTTTCACTCCAATCCCCTTGAGATACATGACACCCAGGTTATAGTGACCACCAACCTCTTCATTCTCAGCAGCCTTTTCAAAATACTCTTTTGCCTGCAGTTCACAAAAGATGTCATAAATCAAGGATATACACACACAAATACACACAAAGAGAACCCAATAATGACATGCCAAATAAATAAACATAATCCTACTTTAGTGTAATTCTTCTTCTCAACTCCATAGCCTTTGACATACAAATAGCCCATCCCATTATATGCTGAATAAAGGTGGTGTCTGGAAGCAAGCTTGAGCCACTCGAATGCTTTGGTGTAGTTTCTCTCAACACCTGCTCCCCTAGCATAGATCTCTCCAAGAAGCTCCATAGATCTTGGTTCTCCCTTCTCCACAGCCTTCAGGAACCACGAAAGTGCCTTTGAATGATCGCGCCTCAATCCCCTTAGGCCAAAGTAGTAAAAAAGGCCAACTTTGTACATGGCAGCAGCATTCCCCTTCTGGGCTTGATACTCCAGTATCTGAAAGTCCTCGTCCTCTTCCCCCTTCGATTTTCTCAGAGCCTCCTTGTTCTCCTCAGCCCCATTGTGAAGCCTCACCGGCTCAATCACAGGGGAATCCTTCGAAATCAGAAAACTATTCACAGCCACTTCAGCTAATTCAGCGTACAGCTTAACAGCTTTCTCGAACATCTGTTACCAATGGCGCAATTTATCACATTATTGAATTAAACTACATCTCCATGATTGCATTTTTAACCATACATATTTATTTACAAAATAAAACGACTACTACCGAGTTTTCTTTTCTAACCATATATATAAGACAAATTCAATTTATTCACAGATCGTAAAGTGTAATGAATCACTGATAAAAAAAAGGGTGAATGCATTGACTCACATCTTGGCGCGTGTAGGTGTAAGCCAAAGCCATCTTGGACTGCATGTTGCCACCCTCGGAGGCGAAGTGGTGGTAGAGAAACGCCTTCCCTTTGCTTCTCTCTCTCAGAAGCCCCATTCCCCACAGAAATCCTAGCACCGATTGCGCGGCGGGGTTGCCGGTGTCAGCGGCGGCAGCGATCTCGGCGGCGGCGTCCTCGATAAGGGCAGGGTCGGCGGACATGAGCTTATGGACGGCGGAGTAGTAGGCGGCATCGGAATCCGTGAAGGGCGGGGAGTCGCCGGGAGGGGGCTCGAAGATGGGGCGCCATGAGCCGGGGTCATAATTATTATTGTTATTGTTATCATTAATTTTATGATTATCAATGACATTATTATAATATTATTATCATTATTATTATTATTATTATTATTATTATTATTATTATTATTATTGTTGTTTTTTGATATCAAAAATGTTTTCAAAAAAAAAATTTAACATTATTTCAAGGGCTCGTAAAGAGGTGGGCCAAGGAGTAAGAAGAGATGTGACTGGACTGGCTCATTATCCTGGAAATGAGTCGTTGAGTTGGGGCTTGTTTTGATGGGTATTAAATCGATATTTGGACTGTGTTTTGATGAATCACACCCATCATCCATGAATTAATAAATGGACTGGGCCGTGGACCATCAATCTTGCTGGGTGACAATTTTTTTTCTCTCATGATATATATACCTCCTTTTTTTATAAATACATTTCCTTTATTTTTTTTTAAATTATCAAAAAAAAAATTAATTTTCTAACTTTACACCTCTAACTTTCAATTTGTTACTTTCTTCTTTTTGTTCATACACTTTTTTTTTCTCTTTTAGTTTTCACATGCTATCAATATAGGTGAAATAAATGAAAGGTAAGGGAGTACATATAAAAATTGAAAATAAGAGAGAAGATGTGTGAAAAAAAAATACTAAATTAAATTTTGTGGATGTAAAATTAAAAAAAAAATTAAGAATATTTTTAATTTTTAATTTTTAATTTTTATAAAAGGAGGTGTACTTAACTTTTTTTTCCCCTTTCTGTTTCATTATTACCAAGAATTTGAGATAATCACATGATGACTGGAAAGAGAAAATTAAAAATATATTAAGAGATCATTCATTGATGTATTCATATATCATTAAAAAAATATTATTTATAATGATTATGATAACTGGTCTTTTATTTTATGAGTTTAAATTTTATATATTATAGATATAAAAAAAATTATATTATTAATCAATTAAAAAGTTTCTAAGAATAACTTTTAAAGTAGTTATTATCAAATTTATCATACATGATAAACTTTGAATAAATGGCTATACATAATATTATTTACGCTATAAGTGTATTTTGATTAAATTTAGTCTATAACAAAAATTAAGATTTTTTAAGATTTAAGAATAATTTTAATTAATTTAACCAAAAAAATGGCTATGTTAATATTTCTCTTAATATTTGTGTTTTACCTCGAACAACAAATATTTTAGAATGGGACATGTACCGAATAATAAATTTTCATCTCATATAGACTGCAACAATCGTTCATGAAACATGCAGGCTCGTATTTAAACTTTCGTGATTAATTAAATTGAATTCACATGTTCCATAATTCTTAAAAATAAAACATAATATTGTACTAACATGAATAAATAAAAACTGAAATGCTTATCATATAGTTTAATACAAATTTTCGCTAGAAAAACATTGGTAAAATTATAAGTTTAACTAAAGACATCTGATTCATGATAGTATAATAATTCATTCTCGAGATTAAATCTTTTTTTGTTGGAATCTGAATATTTGATTGAAACAACTTTTTTTAGTATATTTAAAGTTAAAAATATTCGTTTTAAATTATTTAATTTAAATTATAATTCTTATTAATTCAAATTAAATATAAAAATTGGTTAAAATGCTAAATTTTTTATAATATATTGACATTATCAAAATTAATTACTTTTAATTAATATTATAGAAAAATATTTAAAATAAATTTTTAAATCGAGTTCATCAACTCCCGCTTTAAGCATTTCTACCGGTAGAGTACATAAATCATTTTTCATCTCATTCACTTAATCCGATACACATGCTTTTTTAATTTTCTTAATTGATAATTTTATAGCACATTATAAGTATCTTTAAAAAATAAAATAAAATAAAAAAGGGATATTAGCTCAGAAACTAATACGACTTTAATTTTCTTGGAGCTGCATGATTGATATTCTAGTACTTTTTGTAAGTTTTATTCGTGGATCTTTAAAATCCAATTAGTACTTCATAGTATCTTTTAAAGTTGTTTTATTTTTTATAACAAAGACTGAATCTTGGTTCGAATTAACACTTCTAAATTCTGATTTGCAGTTTGGCACATCATATAACTCTTATTTTTGTTGAATCTTTCTATGTAACATTATACAATGGAATCACTCCTACTCCAATTGGTTCAAATATTGTTTCAAATTTTGATTCTGCTATTTTGGATATATTCTGCTTTCTGCATGCACCTTTCATTTAATTGAACTTTTGATGAGACCGGTTAGTGTAAAGTACTCTAGCTTGTTTTCTATGAAACTTGGATTCTGATCCGGTTTTTATGTTCTCGATCATGGTATGTTATGAATTTTGCTTTTGAATATTATTAATTGATGTTTTACTTTTCTATAGTTGATTCCTATTCGGGTTTATTTGCATCTCGTGAATTTCTATCCCATGGTTTCCTGATTCATTCTCTAAGGGAGTTCATACATTTAAACTTTTATCATCCGAAGGAAAAAATAGAATTTTGTTTTTAAAAAGTTTTTTCTATTTTTTATTTTTTATTCAATTTCCTATTCCATTTTTAAACTGTCACATGAGTTTTTTCTTCTTCTCAATTTTCCTTCCTCCTATTTAAACATATCAACAGATGAATAAATTTAATACATTTATTATATCATATTATATCAACAAATGAATGATAAGCTAAACTATCATAACTTATTTTAATTTAATCTTTGATGACCCGGAAAATAGAATAAATTTATTACTTCTTATTCACTACCAGTAAAAAGGGATTTATAGATTATAATCAAATAAAATTTGGTGAACAAAAAAATTCTCTTATACTTTTACCTCACATTATGAAATCTCTTTATTTTACTATATTGTTATAATTATTATTGTTATTGTTATCATTAATTTTATGATTATCAATGACATTATTATAATATTATTATCATTATTATTATTATTATTATTATTATTATTATTATTATTATTATTGTTGTTTTAATAAATTAATGTATTTTTTTAGGAAATCTTTGGTATATGAAAAATATCATGTCAGTGTACTTTGGTATTCGTATTTTAAACTTTCTTTGAAAGACACTTTTCATTTTATTTTTCTTTTCAATATCCTTTCCTTTTTAGTTGAAAAAGTAATCTCTTAGGATATGATATGAATTCTTAGTTTCCTACCATATTTTTGTTATATACTAAAATCTATTAATATTATAAATACTAGGATTCAAATTCACTTGGACCAACAATGATTGATTGTAATGTTTTAATAAGTTGTGAATTTCAATACATTTTTAAGATATTAATTATCTCTTATCAATTTAAGAATCAAAACTTTTTATCTCTATGTGACACTAAATTTTTTATTTGATACGGATGAATGTTTTGTTGAAACTTTATAGGTGACTTCACAATTACAAAATGAATTGTAAAATAAAAAATTACCGACAAAATTCACAATCATAGTCAAAATTACTATAAGATTAAGAGTAATATATATCGGTATTACTTCTTCCTCTTAAATCATTTTTTTTAGTCTATGGGGCACATTTCTCTAAATGTTTTATTTTCATATGATCCTTATGTTAATCAAATTTTGAATTCTTATATTTTAGTTTAACGTCAACAAATATTTTGTTGTTTGGGATGGTGATGAAAGACATAGAGAGAGTTAAGATTATAGACATCTCTTGCTTAGTTCAATCAATTGATGAACAATATTAATAAGTGTTGATTTTAATTAAAGAATTTATCTCTTTTGACACTTATCAAACTAGATTTAAAAGAAAATCTTGTTTTCAACCCAAAAATATTGTAAATCAAAAGGATGCGTAAATATGTCAGTTTGTGAAGAGTTAATGGATTTTGAACTTATGAACCCTAATTTTTATGTAAATTTGATCAAGTTTCAAGATCTCAAAATTTCACAAATTCAATCAGAAAATTTGCATGTGCTTAGCAGATTAGAAATAAAGAACAAGGATTTGCTATGGAGCAAATTCACTCAACCATTTGGAAATGACAACGAATTTGGTCCTAAGGAGAAAAAAAATTTAACTTTAGAAAGCTCTCAGTGTACCAAAAGGACTCAACAAATGGAGGTTTTTTTACCATAAAAAATTCGAAAATCCATTCAGCCATTTCAAAAGGACAACAAAATTGGTCTAGAGGAGCAAGAAAATTTGGAAAACACTTAACTGACTAGAAGGGGCTCAATAGATGGAGGTTTCTTTACCATGAAGATTCCAAAAATTCGCTCAACTATTTGGAAGGGGTTCATTTACAACACATTATAATTTATTTTCTTGGACATATATAAAGGATTGGAGAGAGAAAATAAACATTATTAGAACAAAAATAGAGAGGACAAAGCTCTCAAAAAGGAGGAAAGCTTGAAGATCATCTGGGGACAAGGATCTTGGGTTCAATTTTATCTTTCTATGCTTTCATTGTTGACTGTTTAGTGTTTACTTGTTGATCTTTCGAACTGGTAGATCTTATCAGGAAACAAAATCTTAAAAAGAATATAATTAGGTGAAATTCTAAAAATAGAATTGGTATACATATAGATCTGTTACTGTTACTGTATATGGATAGGAAACAAAGTAATAAAAAAATACTTATAGTAAAATCAGTTTTATAAAGGGATTGAATAAATTAAATTATACTTCATCCATTCTATTTTATTTAAAAATAAATAAATAATAATAGATACCATTTTAAGTGCATGAACCAGTTGGGTAGCAAATAGTAATGATCATTTCAAAGTTCAAACACACACAATCGTCTAAGTTAGAACCCACTTCTTTCCCTTTCTGTCCTTTTTTTATTTATTTTTTTTTTATTTTCCATCGTTCATAGTCACAAACAGTAACCACAAACTCAACATAGTACTTACTAGGATTAAGTAAAACTAGTGACTATTTTTTCTCAAAACTTGACAGCCGAAGAGAGTTTTGGTTCTTTTTCCTTTCCTTCCCTTCCTGAAGAGACGATAATGCTAGATCCAGCTAGTGAATTGGTGCCACCACCATCTTCACCCACCAACTCATCCATTTCTTCATCTGATCTTGACACCGAGGTATCACCTTCACTTAATATTTAAATCAAACTCAATTCGCAAATTTCCTAAAGTTTCATTTTTTTTCACGAATTAATTAATTTATTTTTATGGGTTTTGAAAGTCTACGGGATCGTTCTTCCACGACAGAAGCACCACACTGGGCACTCTCATGGGTGTGAGCTTCCCGGCTATTACCTTCAGAGCCTCCGAAATCCACCCACATTCTGCCGCCGCCGCCTCCGTTGCCGCCGCAGCGGGTGACTCTCGGAGGGGTGTTGAGTCCAAGAAGAAGAGGGCGATTGCGGCGGCGGATCGCCGGCGGAGGTGGTGGTGGTTGTGCAGGGATGGCGACGCAAGGCCGGCTTCGCTCGGTGAGTTTCTCGAGGTGGAACGGCGGTGCGGCGACGGCGCGTTTTACGGCACGGCGGCGGAACTCGAAGGAATGGTGATGGATCCGCAGAGGAGCCATGGGCGGGCCTTGTTTTCCGATGGGAGGGTTCTTCCGCCAGCCGTCGTTGACGACGGAGCATCGACGGCGGGGAGTCTTTGTAGTAGATTCCCGGTTTTGCTCACCGGGATCTGTAGCGGCGGCGCTGGTTAAGATTGAGTTTCAATTTTGATTTTTGATTTTTTTTTCCTTTTTTTTTCTCTAATAAATTAAAGGGAAGAAAAAGGAAAAATGGTCAATGATTTTTTAGGATTGGTGGTTTGTTTGATTGATTAGTACATGATTACAATTCTTATGACTGTGATTTACATTCTAAATACATATATGATTACTATTTTTAGGGGGCTTTTATTTTCAAGATTAAACGAATAATGTTATTTCAATAATATTTTTTTTAAAAAAATAAAATAGAATAATCTAAAAGACATAAATATAAGCAAAATCATTAATTCAACAAAGAATAATATAAGATTTTTTTAATGCAAATTATAATGCAGCATTGTATGATATTGTGTGGTAATAGAAATTTAAATATATAAAAATATATTTAATTATAGACAAATAGGTGATCGGTGTTATATTAATTAATAGAGTAATTTATTAATTTAATCCTTCAAATATTACAATTTCTTAAATAAATTTTAAAATAATAAAATTATAGAAATAATATTTTAAATATTAAAATTATATTATACTTTCCTTTAAATATTATTTTTTTTTTCAAATTAATTTCTTAACATTAGTAAAATATATTAATATAAAAATTAAATTAATCAATTTTTAATACTTTAAAAATTATTTACATAATTACATTACTTTAAAAATCATTTGATAAAATATTAATAATTGAGGTATCATGATTTGTTTTATTACTTGTTTCATTTACGCTATTAAAAAAAACTAATGAAGTGGTATTTATTAAAATTGTTTTTGTTGATGAATGTACCGATCAAACACACATATAAATTATTGATATTTTATGAGATGGGATTAACATGATATTCTATGATTCAATTTTTATTTGTGATTAAATTATTTAATCAATACAAATTAATCTTTAATCATTTACTTTGTTTTGATTATATCCATTAAAAAGAAAAGAAGAAGACATACGTGACTTTACACTTTATTCAAAAGGGGCCGCGTCATTTTTAAATAGGAAGTTTGAAAGGGATTGCTTCTTTCATCTTTACCACATTTAAATTTGTTTAATTATTTTCTTTTTATAAAATTTACATTTAATTTTTTATAATTAAAAATATTTTATTTTAACTTATATATATACATATATTAATTTTGTTTGTTTTAATCTCTATTATTAAAGTGCAATATCATAAATATTGTTAATAATATTTTTTAATAATAATTAAAGTTTAAATTTAATAATAGGAATAATAAATTCTATTAAATATCGACGCATGTTACTAGGTAAAATTCTGATTATAACCGGGCAACAATATTTATAATATTAATTTTATGTTGTTTATGCTCAAATAAATTTTTTCCTATGTGATTATAAAAATTATGAAACGAAATATTTTCAAATTTTTTTAAGTTGACTATATTTTACTATTTAATTTTTTTTCCACAATTATAATTTGTTAGTCAAAGTTTTTAACACTTTTATTATACTATGATCTTTATTTTTAAATTTTTTCTACGCTAGTTAACATTTTTTTCAACAATATTTTTTGAACCTTTTCAAGTTGAGTGTATTTTACTTTTCAAACTCCTTTCAATAATTTTATTTATTATAGAATATTTGTTCACTCTTTTTCTATTCTATGAGCTATATTAAAAAAAAAAATTCTATTCAACATTTTTTTAATCAATTTTTTTTGAACATTTCAACATTGATTATATATTACTAAACAAACATTTTTAAAAAACTATATTTTCCAAGATAGCAATTTTAACACTCTATATATTATGAATTTTACTTTTTGAATATTATCACGCTATTGAATATTTTTTCTACAATATTTTCAAATTTTCAATGTTGAGTATATTTTAATATTTAAACTTTGCTCAACAATTATATTTTCTTAAAAATATTTTTAACACCCTTTTTAATACGATTGAACGTTATTTTTGAAAATTTCCCACGCTATAAAACGGTTTCTCAACAATTACTATTTAAACATTTTCAACAATTATATTGTTTTAGAATTTTTTTTAACACTCTTT